AGCTTCCCTGCAGCCCCCTCCAGGTACTGGAAGGCTGCAATAAGGTCTCCCCAGAGCCTTCTCTTCTCCAGGCTGAACAAGCCCAATTCTCTCAGCCTTTCATCGCAGGAGAGGTGCTCCAGCCCCCCGAGCATCTTCGTGGCTCTCATAATAGGTTATAAATAGGTTATTATCTAACAGTTATGGAGTGTTTGTGCATCTACGCTGACTTCTGGTTACACAAGACGTCAGCCAAGCAGAGAGAAGGTTTGTTGGCTAGAACTGGACAATGAGACTTATAATTAGCAGTTTCACATACGTTGGCTGCACAGTGGACATACGCATCGTTAGTTAACGTAGTAATGCATCAAGCTGCAGTCACAGTTTGCAGCAACGCCAGAGCTGTATTGCCCACCGGGGAAATCCTGCTGTTGTACCTGAAAAGGCTTCACCCCAACTCCGTTCTTGTTCTTCTTCTTCACCACGTCAATGAGTTTAGCGACAAGCTGGTCGACGACGTAGTCAACGTGCCTGCCACCCTAAGGGAAAAAGGGACCAAAGAGCCGTTTTTTCCATGGAAAACCCAAAAAGCACGCACCTCTCAAATGTTAAGCGTAGTCTGTGCAACAGCAAACCATTTTGCACCTCTCAAATGTAGTCTGTGCAACAGCAAACCATTTGCCAGCGACAGACATGTGAAAACAGCTCCTGACGATGAGGAACATGGCATAAGCTTGACTCAATAAACGGGGGAAGCGTTACCTTTGTGGTGGCAATGCTGTTGACAAAGCTAACTTGCTGGAAGCCTTTTTCACTTAAAGTCAAACACACTTCCCAGCGAGAATTTACTTCCTCGTGGATAACCTTGAGCGCATTCCCAGTTTCATCTTCTTTGTCCTTCAGGTAGAGGTCCACGTAACTGCGAAATCCTTTCACCTGTGTAGGGATGAAAGCAGACAACTTGTTTACAGCAGCTCCTGAATTCCTAATCTCCCGAGTAGAGAAATCACTTTTAGTTTGTGTTAAAATGCTTTTTAAATGCTCACTTACAGGCAGCCTCTGTCCATTCAGGAAAACTCGGACATCCTTCGTGGACCCGGCAATATCGTAGGCTCTTCGAGACATTAGTGCTACAATGTCTTTGTCAAGGTTGGTCATTTTGAACTTTGACAGATCAGGTTGGAAAGTGACACACGTGTAATCTTCTCCATCAAAATACTTCAGTTTCATTTCGCCGGCCTTTCCCATGTTGTCTGTCCAGGTCTGAGAGAAGGAGGTTTTGTGAGTTGCAAGTCTGACACACACAAGCAGCCAGCTTAGTTTTTAAAAGCAGTAAGTTGATTTATGGGTCTTAAATACTTTCAGATTCAAACAAACCCAACCCAAAACCTGGTTAAAAAGGAGATTCTGGTTACATCTGCTCTGTGGGTCCTCCTGATCCACAACATCAGGAGGATATAGACTGGTTGGAGCGAGTCCAGAGGAGGTCACAAGGATGCTCAGAGGGCTGGAGCCCCTCTGCCATGGGGACAGGGTGGGAGAGTTGGGGGGTTCAGCCTGGAGAAGGGAAGCTCCAGGGAGACCTTAGAGCCCCTTCCAGTGCCTGGGGGGCTACAAGAAAGCTGGGGGGGGGGTTTTTCCAAGGGTCTGTAGTGACAGGACAAGGGGTAACTTGTTTAAACTGAAAGTGGGGAGGGTTTAGATAGGATATCAGGAAGGAATTCTTCCTGGAGAGCGTGGGGAGCACTGGGACAGGTTGCCCAGAGAAACTGTGGATGCCCCATCCCTGGGAGTGTCCAAGGCCAGGCTGGATGAGGCTTGGAGCAACCTGGTCTAGTGGAAGGTGTCCCTGTCCATGGCAGCGGGGTTGGAACTAGATGGGCTTTAGGTCCCTTCCAACCCAAACCATTCTATGATTCTATGATTTCATTATCCACTTGAATTATATTTGGTGGTACCATAACTGTGAGCCAAATTCACTCGAATCACGGGGCACTGAATACAAGTTAATGAATGCACCTAGATTTTTTAGAACAAAAACTTAGGGTCTTACTTGAACGTCTCAGGTATAACCTTAGCGAAACGAGAGCCGTTCATACCTGCTTGAATAGCTTTTTGTATTCACGACATCCAGTTTCCACAGTAAATTTTGTGCTGAATATGTTGCAGAGTTTGGCTCCATACCCATTTCGCCCACCTGGAATTAGAAGGAAAAGAGACTTGTGTTATTACCTTTGGTCAAAACCATCTACAAGAATTCTGGACTAACAGGAGTTTGACCACTTCGGCACAACGGTCAATAAGCAACAACATCCTACAAACTCAGGATGCAGCTGTAAACCCATATTTAATTGGGATTAGCGGTCAGAGTTTTTCTTGTTCTCCATGTTTGGTCTGTTTTTACTATGAAATAGAGCATGGAAACTTCTCTGATGGACTCAGAACGCCGCTGTCATGTTGCATGAAGGAACCCTTTCCACCCCCACTTCAGTCTACACATTTAAACCCACCAGGCTGCTCAAGAATATCAGTGCTTATTCCAGAGTCTCCCCTACCTGTGACTTTCTTTTCGTTGTCGTCGTAGTTGCTGGATGTTAGTAGCTGTCCGAAGATAAGAGCAGGCACATAGACCTTCTCCACTTTGTGTTCCACAACTGGAATACCTTTCCCATTGTTCCATACACTGATCGTGTTATTCTCTCTAGGGGAATAAAACATGTGTTTTTAAGGCTGCACATGACTGAGCTACGAAACACGCGGACAAAGACTCTGGGAAAGGCCACCATTTCATCAGGAGCCCATCTCTGTTCGGCAACTGCAGAAACAGCCAGCAGAGGGGGGACGAGTCAACCAAAAATGCTCAGACTTGCAGATACCGCCTGGGAAACAGACCACCACACACGAAAACCCCCTATCTCTGCTCAGCGACAGAATCAAAAGGTTGAGAGGAAGAGAGGAAAATAGCCGCAACGGAAAACACCACCAAAAGCACTCACAACACCAGGCGGCGCCCCGTGAGACCAGGGACCAAGAAACAGGCTGGGGACTCACATTTGGTCTAAAACTGGGATTGGCCTCCTCGCACAGCCCGCCAATCCCACACCGGCTTAGCGGAACAGCAGCCGAGTGAGGAGCTCCCGCGCGCTCGGGTTGGGAAGACAACGAAGAAAACTTAAACTTACACATCGATGGTGACTTTAATGCACGACATGTTTTTATCCCTCTGCTTGTTGTCTGCGGCATTGACTAGAAGGGGAAGATGGTTTTTGTTACGTTCTCAGCCCAAGCGAAACTATTAACCACAAAGTGTGTTCAGCAAAAGGAATGCAAAAATTCAACACGATGCTACTAATAATCATCTTGCTACATCAGTATTTTCCGAGATACAGAGATCAGTACTAAAATTTAACATGAAAGGGAGAATTTTGGACTGAATTAAATGCTTTTGTCCCATGAATGGCTTACTATTAAGTAGCACTAATGCAAAGATATTGGTATCCAACATTTCCAAGCACAATCAACAAACTCCCCGAACACCATCCACCAAATTACACAATCCGTGGTCAACAACACAGCCGGATCAAGCACAGCAGAGCAGCGCTCACGTATAGTTGAAGTTTCTTAGACATTCAACACCCGGGTGTAACTTGTCAATCATTCACGCAACGGATTGGTCACCTTACCGAGAATCTCATCGAAGATTTTGTACAAGCCAGGCACAAAGGTCACTTCTCTGCAGTTAAGGCCCACGTCCTCATCAAAAACCCACATTTGCTGAAAAGAAGGCAAGACAGACTTAAGTGCCCAAGCGCACCTCCTCTTCTGCATAAAGCAGATCTTTCCTGCGTTAGAGCCTGACGTTAATGACCTCTCAGCTGCACCGAGTTCAGGTGGCTGAGCCCCACGGCCCCCCCTTGCCCCCGCACCTGGGTGACCAGCTCCACGGAACCGATGTAGGTGTCGGGCCGGAGCAGGATGTGCTCCAGCTGTGTCTTCTTCTGGTAGATGTGCTCCACCGAGAGCTGCTTCTTGACTCCATCGCCCTTGCCCTTGAGAAGCCGGGCGTTCTCATCCACGAGCTGCTCGGGAGGAGAGAGCGCGGCACTGAGGGGCGGCGGCACCGGGGGGTGAGCT